CAGACCAAGGAAAAAAGCCTCAGCTTCGTTGCACCCTTCAATAAGGAATTATTCTCGAAAATCCACAAGAAAATGTGCATCTAGACTGTCAAATATTCCAAGGTCGAGGGAGAAAATGATGATGCGTAACGAAGTGGGACCATTTTGAACGAAAAAAAAAAACTTTTACACTAAACAAAGGCTACTTGAGAGGATGTTAAATACAAGTAGCATGACATAAATCAGTCAGAACAGCATTGCTGCTTACCCGAACCTCCTCATAGGCCTCGAAGATAATAGTCACGAAAATGTTCAGTACAGCGTATATGAATAGTGTGATAAAGACGTAGAGAAAGACCCTTGAAAAGAGGAATATTCCCAGACCCTTTGCTGTGTCAATAGTGGCGAATGTGGTGTACATGTCATCACCATTAATCAAACTGAATAGGCACTCAAGAGTGGATGTAAATGAGCGGAACTTCATGTGGAAGGGTCCCAGTATCACCCAACCAGGAAAGACGAAGGCAAAGTAGAGAACAAGAGCACAGGCACAAAATCGAAGCAGACCTGGGACTGAACGCTTGATTGTCCTCAAGAGAAGCTGTAAAAGAATAGGGAATTATAACACTTGTACAATTGTTTGGCACAGTGACAATTGTAACTCACGTGCGTTTGAGAGGCTAACTCGACATAGCGAAGAATGCTAATCCACACTAAAAGGGTTCCCAAGCCCAGGAGGTAGGACAACTCGATGTAGGCCTGTAAGATCTGCAAAAATGACCACAATTAGAACCGCCACAATCCCTTCTGCCAACCAAATGAATTCCTCTAGAAGTAATCAAGAACAGGATTCAAGACACAGTATGAATAGAGCATAAAGGACTAAACACGCACGTCTTTGCTGTGCACAAGCTTAAAGGTAGAGCCAGAGATAATAAGAAGATCGCCTCCAATGACTACGAAGAGCCAAGGATTGACAAAGTCGAAGAAGAGTCCCTTCAACCGTATTCCATAATACTCTTCAAAGAAGCCTTTAGTTCTCTAGAATGGTAGCGAGTCGTTAGCAGTAGATGAGTAGGTGAACAAAATGGCTCCTTCAAAATGCCTAACCCACCTTCCACAGTCGAACAGTTCGATGCAGTGAGACTACGCAGAGCCCCAAAGAGAGGAGGGAGGAGTTGAAGGCAAGGAGATCCACTACTAGGTGAACTATGCGGTGCAGTGTTGGTGCGACCTCAGGCTCATTGACACGCCGTACGACACCAGAGAGGCCACAAACTACCTCGATGGGAGCAGCGGTCAATGTTCCCACCACCTGGCCCGTTTGACCGCTGTTGTCGAAGAGGACCTAACAATTATTTAAGAGATGTGAATTTAGTGGACTTTACGCCTCCATAAGTACATGGACCTTTCCAATCTCTGTGATGGTGGCTTGAGGCTACGCGAACATTCAGCACTTTTTACACACTCTTGGCGAAACTACTTCCAAAGGTAGGCGCCTAATGAATATTAGAAAAGCCTGAAGCTATTGCAACAAGGCAAGAATGGAAATCGGAACGAGAACGGTAGCTGAATAAACGGAAGCCTACATGCACACTGAATTGAAAGCACTCGATACTCCTATCCCAGTCGATGTGATGTATTGGAGGCGAGGAAAGGGAGAAATTGAGTGAGAGTTTCCGAAACCTGAAACCCATCCATCAAAAGCTTAAATACACACACCACTGGTAGTCGACAGACAAGTAAAAAGTGAGCTCACCTTGCGAAGTCAAGATTTAATCCCTGTTGGTGAAAAAATGCCTCCGTATGTTTCCAATCAGAGATTTCACTTTCGGAGAAGTCAATGAGACTGAGAGTTTTGCAAACTAAAGGACAGACAATGTTGAAAGCAAATGGATTGCCTCAAAAAAGTGGCACCCAAATGGGTCGGAATTAGCCCGTGCCCTTCTTCGTCACCTCCCGATTGTAATGGTGCATAAAGAAGGCATGAGACTAACCTACTACTGGAGAATCGCCCACATTTCGTAGAGTTAGACGAGGCAGTAGGCAAAATTGTTCAACACAAACGGTGACAGGACGCCTGGCATCGCTGAAAGTGTAGCCACTAAGTGAAAGCGATTCGGTTTCGTTGTACTGAAGCATGGAGAAAACAATCATGAAAGAGGAAGCGAACACCTACTTGCCAAGTATAAATTTCTCATTTACTGCTTTACTGCGACATTCAAATAAAAAATTTCCAGCTAAAAGGTGGATACGGGATGAAGAGGCAGAGAAACTGATATGTAAGTGAATGCATGTTAGATAAGCGGATATGAAATAGATAGATGGATGGATGCAGAATAAACACACGGGTAGGTATTTGGGTAAACACAAAGTGAACAGACAAATGATTAATCAAAAAGACACCAACCCGTCGCAAAGCGAAGCCGAGACCCTCGTAAAATTCATCTCGGGTATAGAATCCGTAGACCCCAGTGCTGGGTGGATAGGGTAGTGTTTCGAATTGCGGATCCCACTCACGAAAGTAGAGGTGCCTGAATGTCACTTGTGCTCGTTCTCCATAGCTCACACGAGTTGATGAGAGCGTACCGAATAGGATGAGCTAGGCGGGAATGGAATAAAAAGGGTGACCACGATGAGACTGATGAGAGACCTCTCACTTCAGTTGCCTCCCCTTTGAGCAGCAGTGGTGAAATAACAAATACCATTACATTAGTATTTGTGTAAAGAATCCTCCACCATCAAATAATCAGTGGTGACAGGGTGTTTACCGCCGTAAATGTCATCAGCACCTAATATTTACACAAAGGGCTCACACGACACGCACATATGTCACACTCAAAAATGGAATGCATGTGAATAAAACCTGAATAGCCGAGTCATCCGGATGGAAGTTCCCATAAAACAACTATTCGAGCGATAGATGCATTAAGCAGCAAAACAGCAAGAACTACACCTGCCAGCGAGACTCACTCACCTACTATACTTGATACAAGACTAGGGAATTCGTCTTTACATCAGGGATAGAGTATGCGTGGCCTGCAATTCCACTTCTACCCCGGCCGCAAATAGGGGGATAGGAAGGACTTAGCAGCCAACACGAAAACGGCAA